AAGCAAAATTAAGATACGAAGGACTTTATACCTGTTGTTAATTTCATTTAGTTATGAAATTGATTCATCCGCATTCAAATATAGTCCAGCTGCAGTGAATATGATCAGATATCATTTACTATCAGATACTGTGAGAATGATCAAATATAATTTCACTTTCCTCTGCAAAGCATATAATAAGAACATTTATGTTTTTTTGTTCTTTTTTTATCTGAAACAAATATAACATGTATAATATTGTTAAATTTATATAAAGTTTGTTTAATTTTGTTAAAGTAACCACTCAAAAACTAGATAATACTTGTAACAGACATAACGATATAACGATAACAAAATTCAGGTGTGTTGCATACAAGTTTTCTTCAATATTTCTCCTTTGCTATTATCTATATCATATCTAAAGTTCTGATGATTTTTATATCTGATATAACGCAGCTGAAACACTACAAGTGGTTATGATTTATTACGACATTCAAGAAAAAACGACTCTCATGCCTGGATGTTGAATAAGATAAAATAAAAACAATATCTATATCAAATGAAAACGTAATGGTTAGTTTGAGATATATCCATTTGAATTGTGGTATCATCTGATCATTTAAAGGAAGGAAGGAAGTCTTAAATAAGATTTTGCGAAAACATCAAACATAAATCAAGATTAATTGAGCAGAACCATACATTTCTTCATTCTTTCATTAGAAACTTGTGTGTGTGTGCGTGCGTGCGTGTGTTGGTGTGTGTGTGTGTGCGTGCGTGCTTGTGTCAAATATGGAAAGTGTTAATTTCAAGCATGGTTAGTTTAATATGCCAATTAATTTTATTGTGTTGAAAGCTAAAATGTTATATAAACACTCGAATCCGCTCCTGGAACCAACCAGAACTAAGCAATAAGTGAAAATTGTGCAAATCACGCGGCCAGCAATCCTTAGATTACAATCCTCAGATATCAAGTCCGATGCGTTTACCACTCTGCCATGCCGCCAGTCAAATGAAGCGTATGATTACAGGTTTAAAGGGTGATGTTTACTAAAAGCCTTTAAAGTCTTTTCAATGTCTCTTAAACAACAGATTTCTAGTCCGACGTGTTAACCACTCGGCCATGCTGCCACTCAACTGAGGCATACAATTATAAATTTTTGTCAAGGTTTAAAAAGTGATGTTTGCTCAAAACCGTTGGAATCTTTTCATTTTCTTCTCCTGAACATCATGAACAACCCGCCACAGTCTTATGGAAAAACATTTAATCCTCGTTATTTCACGTAATTATATTAGCGAGCAAATACAAAGTTAGCAGTCACTTGAAGAAGTACATGCAAATATTTGACAACTGGTGTAACAAGTCAATATGTTGTTGAAATATTATTCCCTCGTGATACTGTGTTTTTCTTTTGTCAACGGAAAACATGGAGAACCTAAATGTTTTTAAAGGTTTGACTCTGACGAGAAAATATTAATGAAACAGTTAAGATTTTAAGACAAAGTATAGAAATATGAGGATTTTATTAATGGAATAAAGGTGCGAGAAACAAAAGAAAAAGAGGAACGCAATAAATTGTTTGACGCAGAGTTAGAGAAAGTTAAAGAGTTTAATAACGGAGCAAAGACCCGAAAAGCCAGGGAAAAAGAGGAACGAGATAAATTTTTGCTGCAAAATTAGAGAAAGTTAAAGAGTTTAATAACGGAGCAAAGGCGCGAGAAGCCAGGGGAAAAAGAGGAACGCGATAAATTGTTTGCTGCAGAGTTAGAGAAAGTTAAAAACTTTCACAGACTTATTAATGAAGTAAAGACAAGAGAAGAAAAGGAATTAGAGGAGCGTTCTAAGTTGTTTCTCGCAGAGTTGAAGAGATACAAACAAGAGAATGCGGAAGAAGTTGAACGACAGAAAAATGTTACGTCAGAAATGCTCGAAAGTGTGGCGAATTCTAAGATTGAGTTTAAAAACGTTCATAAAGAGATAAACGAGATAATGAAAGGTCAGTTTCTCAGAAGGTTTTACAGAAATGCATATCACATTATTATTGCTACTGTATATAAGAGATATTGTCCTTATATCAATGGTCTTGCTTAGCAAATTCTACCAAAACAAATGCTGGAAAAATTTATATTAAATTTTTCTTTAATAATTCTTGTTATTGCAAATAAGTGATATTGTCTTAATAAAATGGTCTAGAATATACAAATTAATACCTAAATTTATATATAGGTTGTTAGTAAACTGTGGAATTTATTCATTCATCCAGGGTTCAAAGATGCAGAGCAACGATACTGACAAGTTCAAGAACTCATTGAGTCGAGCAAAGTGGGAGATTTTAGAAATGCTTACGCCTATAGTACAAAACTTCAACCTGCGAAATTTTGACTACATGACCCAAGCTATATTTCTGACAGCCATGACAGGGATCGCGAGTGTAGGAATAATATTTGCTATTCCATATCTGTACAGTAACTTTAGTGACAATGTTATTTTGTGCTTTCGAATATTTGGATTATTTATTGTTTTTCAATTGACTGTGAATTGGTTGTGTATAAAATACGTTGATACAAGTTATAAGCCGTCACGTGACGGTATTAGTCAAGACGGGATATCAATTGGACAGAAAATATGCCACACTGTTAACAATAACCATAATGATAGCACCATGCGATATCGAAAAGACGCTACATCACTCAGCATGGAAGTGAATGACTCACAAGACAGCTTCATGTTTGTCGCCACTAAAGTACCCAAAACCCGCAAGGAGCCACCCGAGAGAACTTAATATCCATATTTCTCGTGGGCCCCGTGTTTACAGTGTAACAGACCCCGCCAACCAAGATATCACCATTGTCCAATATGTGACAAGTGTGTAATGAAGCGAGACCACCACTGTTATATTACAGATGTTTGTATATGGGGTAGGATCTCAGACATTTTACCGTATTCGTATTTTGGGCTCTCATTGGCGTTTGATTTGCAAGCGTACACTGTCTGCCATTTTATTATTTCGATATACTTCCATACACCAGTTACTTTGACTTGATTTTCCCAATAGCAATAACTCGTGCAGAATTCAGATACATTGATTGGATATATGCATGTTGCATAGTGCTGGGATGGCTACTGTTACTATTTTTACTTATTGCCAACACATATCTGAAAATAATAGTTGCCGGTATAAGCACGGGTAAAACTTCCTTTGAAATGGATTTCGACATTTATATTACAGATACGAGGGGCAAAGAAGATAAATTAATGTCAGTGTTTGGACCCCATTGGAAACTTAACTTTTTCTTTCCTCTTCATTTCATATTTGAACAAGTGATGATACTGTAAGGTGGCCAACAATAAAAGCCTGATGTTGATCATCAAACTTCAGGTTGGGTGATCACTTGACACATTTTTTCTGTAACATTGGGTCATCGCAAATGGCCGCACTCGAAGGTATTTGCTAATTTCTCGTAACATCTTTAAATATTTGAACGATAAACATATACAATGTCCTAGACAAATATTTGCCAATTCCAATTTCACATTCTTTAATGTAGCAATTGCACTTTTCCCGACATATTTGAAGAAATTGTGACACAATGTTACCACATAATTTCAAAAAAAAAAAAAATAAATACGTATACCGCAAAGAAACATGTCTTCAAGCATAGCGGAAAAATGGTCTACAATGGAAAGTTTGAATCGGCAAACATGTGCCTGGGACATGTCATTTTTTTATTTTTTATTCAAATATTGAAATCTATAATGAAAAATTAGCGAAAAAAAAAACACTTTTAAGTCTTGGGTGTGCGGCTATAAGAGGTGACCGAAAGTTATCGTTAACTAAAATCACGTGATCAACCACCCTGTGACTTAACGTAAAGAATTATTTTGAAGTACAAATGTATATTTTGATATACATTGATCGAATTATTGATTACATTGTAAGAAAGCTATCAGAACTAATTCATATATATGTTAAATTTACCTTACGGTTTGTCGAATGCTAAATAAATTAGAAAATATAAACAACCATCACTGTTTTTTTGCTGTATCTCTAAGGCATCTGAAAAGGGAAATAATCGAAACTTATATAGAATTTTATACCGTAACAGAGTTATCAATTCTATAAGAATGCTGATTTATCTTTTAAATTAATCTAAGTCATAATGGGCGTCAGACAAAAAACAACAAACAAACAAACAAACAAAAACATCAAAATAACTATTTCGGGTTGAGTGTAAGAAAAAAAAATGATTTTTTTTCCTATATACCATTACTACGAAAAGGTCACCTAGTCGCCGTAACACTACGGAGCTTTACTAGGACACGATGTGGAACAACCATAATGTCGAGTTCTGTAACAATACAAGCTATTTTGTTACTCTTTACACATCATGCATTTAGAAAATTGTTAACATTCTTATTCTACCTTACATACATTCTTAAAACTAACATTCAAACTCAGGCACTCCAAATTGTTATGGTAACGGTATATAAGACAAAAAAATCATTTTTTTTTTCTCTTACACTCAACGCAAAATAGTTGTTTTGATGCTTTTTTTGTTTTTTGTTTTTTTTTTAACTTCAATTTTTTTTATATGGGCACCAAGACTGGACGAGCACCTCTGTTTTACCATTGCCATTTTCATATTATCCTGACACCGGAGCTGCTATTATGCCCCTTTAAGTGCAATTTTTTCAAATATATCTGATGACACATTTTTATAAACATTTGAAAACAGCATAATCATATGGTTTATATCACCTTTTGGCCGTTTCTTGAACAATTTGCTGCATTTAATGTCTAAGTAGTTTAATATACATAAATATTGTAGGTAAACAGAATAAAATGTTGCTCAGCGATAAATAGTAAGGTTTGACGATGATCTTAATCGTGCCAACTCGCTTTCAGGCAGATTCTGTTCATTCTATGTATTCTGTAATCATTGTTATTACAAAATTTACGACACTAATTCTAGAAAGTACGTATACTATTACGTGTAAGTTATTGAATTTGTCTTTCTAAATAACCACTAAATGACGTCCATGGATCTACATTGTTTGGTACTGTACCGTAACAGCTCTGTATGGTCACTACATCTCCAACCTTCAGATTAAAATACACCGACGTTGAAACCCCGTAACTCCCGCTGTCAGCACCATTAGCCCCGTCCTGTGGATCTATGTGAGCTCTCACTTTATTTAATCCGTTCAGATCAATGTAACATCCGGCCTGGTCGACACTGGATGACCGTTTTTTGATGATGTGTAAAGAAAAGTAGTAGAGCCCGCTTACAGGACATGTGAACTTGCCGGTCTATGTATCAAACGCGTTCCCTACGTTTGTAATGACAGTTGTAAAAGACATTGATCTTGATGTAGTACCCATCTTAGGTGCTGTCCCCGTGAAAGCCACAACCTTCCCTGAAAAACGACAGAATTGTAAGATTTAAAGTTTTAAAGCTGATAAAAAGATACTTTTAGATGAATGTTTTCTTAAAACATAAAATATTTTAAAGCTACATATTTTGATAATATATATTTATATAAAAGTTCCCAGCAAACACATGACGTTAGAATAACGTCAGATTATCGTTAGATTTTGGTCACGACGTCGGCGACCAAAATACGACGTAAATCTGACGTCCAAAAGCCGATGTCTATTAGACGTTTCTTTTTGACGTCGTACTAACGTCAGGTTCTGGTCGGTTTCCTGACAGTATGTAAAATATTAACGAAAGGTAATCCTTATTCGCTGTTGTAATCATTTAAACTTTTTTTTTAAATGTTATTTGGCTTACAAATTAAGTGTATATATATATACAAGTGCCTTTCGAAGACCACGTGCGCGGCGCTGCAACCTAATAAAACATAAAGGTGGCGCTGTATATAGGTTAATTACATGTGTTATTGTTATGAAATCTATTTATAGCCACAGATCTGTTAACGAGTTCCAATCATTTAACGTTACAGTATTATCATTTGTGGTACATTATATGTATCAAAATCACGAGTTTTTAATAGTTCTTTAATATTTAATCATAGTGACAGGAAAAGGAAAGAAAACATAATTATAATTCGAATCTACAGCCACGTGGATGGAAAATTCAAATTCGTAGGCGTTTCGTATGTCAGAAATCGGGATGCAATGATAAAGTGAATATTCCAGATTTTCTTGAACAAAAAGGTCAGTTCAATTTATGTAAATTTATTTCTACTTTGTATTTGAAAAATAATTGCATGCATTCTTAGATTTAATTATCATTATTTGAACAGTTGAAGCAAAATGTCACACAAATTCGCGATAATGTTTGATAATAAATCATTTCAAATTTTGCATGTTTTAACTCTGCTCGTGAAGAGTTTATAATGTGCCTTTCAGTATAACCAAAGAGAATGCTTAGATTTCATATTCTTGTTAAACTATGATGTTTTTGTCACTTAAAATCTGAGAATTGAGAATGAATTGATACGATTTCGAGCATTTCGGACCAAGACGTTTCGGTCCTAAATAACCCAAGACGTTTCGGTTTCAGACATTTCGGCATTTTCCCAAACGGTCCAATTTTTTATCAGAATAAATTAATCTTACTTTAATGTGTTTTACACCAGATTTTAATATCATTCTAATAAATGAACGGGAAATAAATGAAAGAGCGAATTGATTGATTATGTAATATAGAATGAGGCTTCATATAATCATTAGGAATTACGGACAGGGCGGACCGTGAGACAGGGCGGACCGTACCAGGGCGGACCGTGACTCGAGACTAGGCGGACCATATTTTGGGACAGGGCGGACCGTCACTCGAGACGAGGCGGACCATGATTTAAAAAAGTATTATATGTGGAGGAATGTAATAAAAGTATTAAATTATTGATGTTTTTGTTCCTCGTATTAATATTTCAATGCAAATATAAAAGTAAAAATATTATATACAGTAAGTTTTAAAAGTCTTATTGTTTAATAAATTATATTTCAGTGTTCTTTTTATTTCATGTGTTTGTGCTTATTATGTAAATTTTAATAAAATAGTTTTGTTCTTTAAGGTGACAACAGACACTTTCCGTGGTACTCACATAAATGTCATTTAAACCAACTTATTTTAGTAATAATTGTTATTTATTTAATCTTTGTGCATTAAATTTCGTTGATCAACATAAAAAATAACATATTTGAAAAAAATGCCTTTGTAAATGATTGATTTTTAATAAAAATCCTAAAATTTTAAATCGTCATATCAAAGTCATTTTTTATTTTTTTGTCATCAAACTTTTGGAAAATAAACATACTTATAATATCTGGGGAACCGTGTCTCAAATTTTTTCTATCTTTTCTCAAAAAAATATTACGTAACGTCAAACATTTTATGCGACTTTTTTCACCATACATATTACGTAATTAAAGATAATTAAGTCGCTGATCGAGCAAACAAAAATCCCTGACACGGTTCCCTCCGTAAATAAATTCCCTTTCATGTGCTTTAAACCGCATGTTAATTGCTTGATTATTAAAAAAGTTATGCCGATTCAAAGTTAGTCCGACCCGCATCAAACGAAGTGTCATAAATCGGCTGTTCTCTCTCGGACCCCTACGTTTCACGCTAAATAATTGCATAATACACAAATATCGCACCAGAGAGGGTCACAAGTTGCGGTAACATACTCTAACAACATTTTATGACCCAGTGACATCTGACCAATTAAAAAGTTGCTGATTAATATCAGTTTATAACAGAAATTTCTTCAAATCTTAACGTGATTTACTGTCGGTCGCGAATTACGAGTAGTATGGACCAGTATGGACGGGTAATTCACGGATATATGGAACTACCGATTTCCCTCATTGATGCCTCAACATGGGGCGGAGCGTTATCGATAATTGACAGGTTACGCGAATAGCAGATAAAAATGGTACAGGTACCGTTTTAAAACGTTTAAAAACACATTTTTGGACTCACTGCTTCCAAAATTAAATCACGAATGTGTTCAGAAAAGGTTGATAAATCTACTAAGCAAAGAATCTCATTTTAGGTATTTTCAGTAATAATTGACTCCGTTGTCACCTTAAATATGTCACTTTATTTTTTTTGTTATTGTGTTGTACGTATTGCAAATAATTTTAATGTGATGTAATTCGTTTCGTTATCATTGTTATTTCGTGTATTGTACAACAAAATATATGTTTTTTATGTGTCTAATTGTTTAATAAAGTTTGTCAATTTTAGCAGCGTAAGCGCCTTATACAAACAATGGCATTGTAATACCTGATAATTGGTCAATTATTACCTGCGTAAGTCGACGCAGTTACAAATAATTTTCTTGAGAAAAAAGTATGAAACTACTCTAATATACTGAAACAAAAAAAGAAACTTTCTCCAAGTTTGAATGTAGATATGTTTAGTACAGTTTTTCAATCCTTTTGAAACTCAATTTTTACGTTGAATAAATATATTAGGCTTTTATACAGAGATAAGCTGACCGATTGAGTTTTACAAGCTACTACATGTATACAAACAAGTGTGTACATCTAAGTGGTACCCTTGAACAACTAGCACATACTTTGCGAAAGTTTCTTTTTGGTTCAGTATATATATGTTACATATATGTTACATAGAAAGGTTTAGATTGAAATATTATAAAGAATACCAAAATCATCCACAATTAAATACTTTAATAACTTTTTTAAATCACGGTCCGCCTCGTCTCGAGTGACATCGTCCATTCAGCAAATTAATATACAATTACACATGAACTTTTAAAACTTATTTTATATTTTTACTTTTATATTTGCATTGAAGTATTATTACAAAGAATAAAAACATCAATAATTGAATATTTTTATTACATTAACCCACATAAAAATACTTTTTTAAATCAAGGTCCGCCTCGTCTCAAGTGACGGTCCGCCCTGTCCCAAAATATGGTCCATTCAGCAAATTAATATACAATTACACATGAACTTTTAAAACTTATTTTATATTTTTACTTTTATATTTGCATTGAAGTATTATTACAAAGAATAAAAACATCAATAATTGAATATTTTTATTACATTAACCCACATAAAAATACTTTTTTAAATCAAGGTCCGCCTCGTCTCAAGTGACGGTCCGCCCTGTCCCAAAATATGGTCCGCCGAGTCTCGAGTCACGGTCCGCCCTGGTACGGTCCGCCCTGTCTCACGGTCCGCCCTGTCCTGCAGGCATCATTAGTAGGAAAAATGTAATCAAAACAACATAAACTTTTTAACAAAACGTAGTACATAAACATACATTTATTATCAACAATTTCTAAACACTCTTTAATTTGAAACTATGAAAAATTTAAGACTTGCGTAACTGTTCTATTTCAAAAGTAGAATATACATAAGTTAGAATATAATTTTCTTTTCAGGTAGTTCAAGCGTTTGACATGCTCTCAAAGGTCGGAGGGGCAGAAATACGTGATAATGTAAAAAGAAACATGAATCATGGGAAGGTAAGATTTTGTAAATTCTATTACATATACTATAATCCATACTAAACTAGAGTTTTAAAGCGTTTTTTTTAAATTTTCAGTATTTATGTTTACTTTTAATTTTTGTTAAAGCTCACTTCTGAAAAGCTAGCAAAGTTGTTCATTAATTTAAGATAACTTTCAAAATTTCATAAGGGCAGATAACCATGAAAAAATTTTTTGCTTGTAATTTTTCCAATTTTCATAAATTTCTTTTTTTTCAGTGAAAATGATATCACAAACGTTATTGGACATTAACATGTTACATCCTCCGGACAGACGAGGGGTGGTGAGAGAAGGTCATATATCTAAAGGCATACACCTCTAAATTCGTGCTAATTCTCGTGGATATTTAAAAGTACATTTGTGTATAACTTTGTGAAGTAAATAAAAGGAAATAATTTATACGTTAGTGACAATTATCAAAAGGAGGTCAAAATATGAAAAATACTACTAAATGATTTAGTAATGCTGTAGAAATATAGTTCAAATACTGAATATCTGTCATTAATTACTTGAAACATTATTATCCGAATCTTTTAACTTTTCTTAAAATTATAATATTTTCATTATTTTGTTTGATAAGGCAAACTTTGATAGAAATATACATACATTGTTTTGTTCATTAATATTTGTATATGATTTCTTAGTTTCATTTATGTCATTGTTTTTGAAATACTTTTTGTATTGTTATTAACTTATTTTATGTTTTATTTGGTTTAGTTTATGAAAAGTATTTAGTATTGCAGAATTAACTAAAACTGTATGTATCAGCTTTAAATTGCAACTTTTATCTTAAATAAAAAAAAAACATAAAAACATATTTTTGCTTTTAGTTTTTTGTTATACATTTCATTGGAGTGAAAGTTAAAGTTACTTAAAAGAATGAGTTACATTACATTTGATCAAATCAGGATTGGCCAGAAAATATTTATAACATTGTAAACAAGGAGGATTAGGGAAATGATCAGATTAAGGTCAGAAAATGGTCAAGTTTAGGGCAGAAAAAGGTTAAGATTTAGATCGGAAAATGGTCAGATTGAGGTCGGAAATTGATCAGAAACTGGATAGATTTAGGTCGGAAAATGGTCAGATTGAGGTCGGAAAATGGTCAGAAACTGGTTAGATAACGGTCAGATTTTGGTCGGAAAATGGTTAGATTTTGGTCAGAAATAGTTAGATAATGGTTAGATCCTGACGTCTATCTGACGTCAGATTATTACGTCAAAAAAACTTTCAAATCCGACCGTTTTTCCGACCGTCATCCGACGTCAGAACCTGACTTAAATCTGACGTCAATATGACGTCTTGTGTTTGCTGGGTTATTATGCACAAGATGAAATGCATGACATTTGACGTTTAATATTGTTTATAATTGAAAAGGAATATTATCTCAAATATTTCTGTTTGCCATAATCATTACGTTGCCTTTATCTCGTGACTTTTATAACCTGCCTGTGACTGAAAACCAACGCAAAAGACGGTTCAGGTAATTCCTTTTCATAGATAAAATATTTGCTTGGGGAAAATAAGACAAATCCAAGTGTTTGATCATTCAAAACTTCACACAGATTCAATTAACTGAAGATTATTCTTTTATTTTGAAAAACAATTCTTATGTAGGTTTAATATCTAGAATAAGCGGACTCTACAAGTTATTCCGTATGAGATAATTAAACTTTTAAAAAGTCATGATGGAAAATACTGCCGTATCTTGTATTGGTATTCCGCCAAACAGATTACAAAATGCCGCGCAATATAAACACCGTGATAATAATACTAGTAATGAATTAATTGTTCATAATTATTAAGATTAAGACATACTATGCTACTCATTGCACCACATATTTTGATCACAGAGATTTATTAAAATTTATGAAATTCTTAAAGAATATGTCTAATTTGAATGAAAGAAAGAATAAACTTTATATATGAAGCTGCGTGCCCTATTGCCAATCAATTAAAGTTGGTCTTTTCTTAAAAAACTGCCAGCTTTTTTTTTTAAAAATGACACTTCTTATATTGTGACTGTCAGAAGTGTAGAAAATGTTAAACATGACATACGTATGTACTTCGTGTGAAGTCAAAACATGTTAATTTTATATTTATTTAAGAAAGAGACTGTGAAGCAATTATGAAAATTGTTTAATATAAAATTTGAGCATAGTATATCTTTAAGTCCGCATTCAGCCAATCAGGTTCTAAGCAGACGTAAACGTTATACATCAGGAGGCAGTATACAGTTACAGTTGGCTAGTATCGAATTTAAAAATTTAGAATTTACACATTGGAGAAAGTTTTGAAAATGAAGTGGCTATTGGAGCTTGATGCTTTCAAGTTACAGTTTCTGTGCAACTGACCTTTCACTCTCTCATTTATCTGTTTATGAACGTTTTCAAACTCCATCTTAGAATTCGCCACACTTTCGAGCATTTCTGACGTGACATTTTTCTGTCGTTCAACTTCTTTCGCATTCACTTGTTTGTATTTCTTCAACTCTGCGAGAAACAACTTAGAACGTTCCTCTATTTCCTTTTCTCCTCTTGTCTTTACTTCATTTATAAGCCTCTGAAAGTTTTTTACTTTCTCTAACTCTGCAGCAAACAATTTATTGCGTGCCTCTTTTTCCTTGGCTTCTAGTGCCTTTGCTTCATTATTAAACTTTTTAACTTTCTCTAATTCTGCAGCAAACAATTTATCGCGTTCCTCTTTTTCCTTGGCTTCTCGCGCCTTTGCTCCGTTATTAAACTCTTTAACTTTCTCTAATTCTGCAGCAAATATTTTATCGCGTTCCTCTTTTTCCTTGACTTCTCGCACCTTTGCTCCGTTATTAAACTCTTCAACTTTCTGTAATTCTGCTGCAAACAATTCATCGCGTTCCTCTTTTTCATTGACTTCTCGCGCCTTCACTCCGTTTATAAAATCCTCGAATTTCTGAACTTTGTCTTCAAATCTTAACAGTTTCATTAACATTTTCTCGTCATAGTCAAACCTCGAAAAACATTTAGGTTCTTCCGGTTCTCCGTTGACGACGGAAAGACAAAGTACCACGACGGAATAATATTTCAACAACATATTAATTTGTAACATCCGTGTGCAGATATTTGCATGAACTTATTAAATTTAAATTTGTTAAATAGTAATATCACACCAAGTGTCTTAGACTCTTATGGTTGCTGTTCGAAACTAACGAGGATAAAATACTTTTCTCCTAAGATTGTGATGGGTTGTTCATGTTGTTCAATATGTGGATTGTTTTCTAAGAATTGCTAGCTGCGTAGGTTCAAAGTCCGTCAGGGGGCAAGCCGTTATTTCCGTGACTAAGACACTTTATCCTCGTTGCTTAGTACTTGGTTGGTTCTAGGAACGGATTCGAGAGTGTTTCAAAAACCTTATAGCTTACAACACAAAAAATGATAGTTATACACTAACCATACGTTTAAAATTACACTTTCCATATTTGCCACACGCACACAAACACGCACGCACGCATGCTTCTAATAAATAAAAAAAATGTATGATTCTGTGTAATAAACCTGAATATTTGTTTGATTTAATCGGTTTTTATACAGATGATACCGTTACTCAAATGGATGAAACTTAAACTTTCAATTACTTTTGCATCAACCCTCCTTATTTCTGTTTCATTCTTAATTTTATCGAGTTTAACCATGCTTGCTCTTATCTTATTCGAAACCCAGACAAAACAGTCGCTATTTCCTTGAGTTTCGTAATAAATGATAAAAGCATGAGAAGAATAAGCTGAAATGACGCTTAAAGTTCTCAGCAGTTTAAATGTGTTTGTTAAAAAAAAATATTTGATAACATGTTTATATGTTACATACTTGAATTTTGTTATTATATTGATGTTCTCGTAAATAACAACGTTTGTGTACCACCTAAATAAGTCAGTGGCTAATATTACAGCTCTTTACTTGTGACGAGATAAACAAAGAAGACCGGAAGCGTGATATATTTAGGAATGTCACACTATCGGAGATTTTTTTTATATATACATAGAAGGTCGGAAGCGTGATATATTTCACAACAATGCACGAGTATCGAGAAGTTAGCACTGACATCTTTTGCACGTTGTTATTTTTTTCCTCTGTATTTTCAAACCGACACATTGACGGTGCCATGTTGTTTGAAAAATCTGATAATTAAAAAAACAAACTTTCTGTTGAATTGTGTTCCGAAAACAATTAACAATGATAGAAAATGGTTCAGCTACGAAATTAGATCCGAACATCAGTATCTTTAATTATAGTGAATAAATGTGCAATTTTACTGGTTTGTGACATTAAACTGTTTTTGTACGCGCTGATGGGCGCTACATTATGACGTCATGTAAACCACACTTTAAACATCTCTACAACGTTAATGACTGAATTTAAGATACTGGTGTTCGGATTACACCATTTTCGATAATTCTAAATAGTTTAAAGTACAATTCAACAAAAGGTGTGTTTTCTTTTATTTATCAGATTTTTCAAACAAAATGGCGCCGTAAAAAATGTTTAATGATGTAATTTTAAGGAAACTTTGTTTTCCCCTTAATCCTATATAAAACAGGAGGAAATTTCAACAACTTCAAGGGTCTTATCACACATCTACTACTCTTTACAACTGTCTCTCAATTATATATATTTTTTATTGGAGTGTCCGTTATATAAAACATTGATATCCATGTGATGTGATATCTTCCTTGTTCCTTTTATATTCATATATATATCAGCCACGACATGTTACAATAAGGAAAAATACTTGAAAGACATCTTGATACTTGAAATAAAATAACAATCAAAGGAATACTTGTAATTGTTTAATTACTTTAAATATGTACGTCCTGAAGGTGTTTTCTGTTGCAAGGAACATGTGTGAAGGGTCATTTGAATAGATCAAATTAGATTTGTTAAATCATATTTTCCTTGTGAAATTTTCCTCATTGGTACTAAGTTCACGATTCAGCGAATGTTTTTTTCAAAAGTCCAAGCTTACCAAAACAAGTTTATCAGCGCAGTTTGTACTTAATCTTTACACTGTAAAAATGAATCTTTTCTTCCCATATCTTTAAACTGCGGAAAACCGTCATCATTGTGGTGAACAATTTTATTATTTAAGTGCAGTCACGAATTTTTTTCTTACTGATATGCGCACTGTTTGAAAACTGCTTACACCCCAGTTACACAGAGCCATCGGTGATTGATCGGTAGTTTTTTTAGCCAACTTATGGAGTGAACCGATGACAACGTATTTATCACCGATATCACCTATTGGTCACCTGTTTTCCACCTATCAACTGCTATTGGGGAAAGATAAGTTTCATCGGTGAAAAAATACCGATTGGGATTTTTAAACACGTCTAAAATTCTCGATCGGTGAAAATATTCTAAAAATTACCGACGGCAACCTATATCACGAGATGTGCAAGCTCTTAATCACCGATATCGCCGATCGGACAAAGATAACCAAATATGAATCACCGGCCATATCTGACGGAAAGTGTTTAACCACTGATGACTAGCTATCAAACACCGATTAATCAGCGTTACGCCCGATTTAGCTCCGATTTACAAACGATAAAAACCAAAAGTATTTCAGCGACCCATTCCCGTTTGAGTTTGCTGTCTGTCACCGATGGCCGTTTACACAGAAAACCAGAAATAAAATCACGCATGACAACCGATCATAAAAGCAACTAAATCTAAAATTAAATGACCGATTGGGGACCGACCGTCTGTGTAACTGGGCCCTTAGATCTGATTTAAAAAGCGCGCGTCGTATAATAAAAAAATGGCGTCAAATTTGACGTAACGTTTTTACGATTACTTCATTTGACCACTATGTTGGAAAAGTCATGTCACCGCTCATATCTATTTCCTAATTAAAGTATACCATATATGCATTTATTCGTATCGTAGGTCTGTTAATTGTCGCTGCTGTGGTATTGTATGAAATTGTAAAAACACATTCATAGAACTCTCAATAGTACAGTCCCTGAAGACCTTTTGTGTGCAAAAAAGGTCCATAGATAAATGTTATACCAATGTAAAGCTAAATGTTTGAAGTTTACAAAAATTTTGGGTAGACATGTCAAATCATGGTACGTTTTGAGAAATCCAAGATGGCCGCCAAGATGGCCGCCAAATTATTGAAAAATGGCTAATACGCAATTTATATGATAAAATTAGTTCTTTTTTTTGTATTTATTTTTGGTACAGGTGATGTTAAAACTTCACATCCTATTGGAACAATATGAAAATGGAGGCATTTCCATTATTGTTTCATATTCTTTGAATTTCATAGATAAATTTGCTAAAAAAAGCATGAAAAAATTATCAAAAATTGATATGGGGCTGATATTGTTTCCTACCAGCTAAGGCATAGCGGTGTAAATGAATATTTTTACCATATACTACAAAGACTTGAACAAGATCATACTAATATCACCCGTATTTTTTTATCTTTATTGTAAAATAATGTGGATTCTTATATTCTTAAAGTGGGTGGGGTAACGAAAACTAAGTCTCAGTATTTTGTTAACTGGTTTGTTATGATAATTAAAACTATGAATAGTCAAAATGTATTGCACTTTGGCATGTACCTAAAGTTATTAATAATTAAGAAACTTAGACTGATATTTTGTTTATCAATATTCAACATGTTCTGTTGCCATGGCAACAGAGAAGTAAAATGAAAGACACACCTTAAACGTATGACACTTTCAACTTTTATCATTTTAAGCATGTTGTTAAGAATGACACAAACTTATAGATAAATAATCTGTGCACAATGCCATGGTAACAAATTGAAAAAAAAATATAACATTAAAAGAAGTCACATTTAATTCTAGCAAATTATCAACACAGATAACAGCTGATATTTTGAAATTAGATGAATAAATTTATTTCAAGAATTTGCATCATGCATTTGCTTTTTTCAAACTGCTATACATAGAAAAAGGTCATGTCAAATGTGAATATTGTTATGTTTGGAAAGAATAATTAATGGTGATAATAATAAGTAAAAGGCAGTCTTAAGGTAGAAATGTATATAAACACTATCAAATGATTGAAACTGTACATAGGGTAAACATTAAAGACTTTGCAGCTAAAACGAGAAATAAATAGGTCACTGGTTCAAATGCTAGGTCAACCAATATCAAATTTTACTGACAATCGAATTCATTGTTGAGTTCAAACTTTTTGGTTGTAGCTTGTATTATGAAATTCTAACTTGCATTAGATAAAATTCTAGGTCAACTGATCTCAGTGTATAATTCTGCATCTGAAATTTTACAATCAAAATACAAAGAGATCACTAGAACAGATTAAGGTCAGCTGGCATGTCATATTGTGTCTGTTATCCAAATTTCTTTAGCTTCAAAAACAAGAAAGTAAGTCACGAGGTCTTAAATTCTAGGTCACCTTATACCAGTGTGGCCATGATTTGAACAATCAAAGAGGAACACAAGACAATGGTCTTGCATTGTGGTTTCTGACATAAAGAGTTTTCTTATATAAAAATCGACATCTAGGCAGGGCCATTTTTATGCTCCCCGAAAAATTATGGAGGAGCATATAGTTGCCGGGCGTGTGTCCAAACCCTAGTCGGGGAGCATCACCTGGTTCAACCGGCTCTTGTTTTAATCCAGACTCATGATCATTATTTGATGCCTGCAAACTTAGCACTTTACGGAGAGTGTCGGATGTGAAATCCGGGCGTCTCTTGTTCAAAAGACAACAATTGATCTCGGACATTGAGTTTTACGGTCATTTGTCTGTCAAAAAAGCTAGTACCGTAGCTTAGTAGAAAATGGTCATTAATCTTCTGGTTATTTATCCATGAAAGTCAGATAGTTTAACCAACCTTCAAGCTATCGACGAAGAAGTGTTGAAATTGGCGTTTAACCCAGACCCGGCCATTTAATGATTTGAAGAAACATGGTAAAAGTCTTCTAGAAATTGTTTCACATGCTCTAAACAATGGGGTTAAAGGGATGATTTTATAAAGGATTTTATATATAAGTAAGACTATGTAAATCAATTGAACCTTGGGAAAGGAAAGGAAATTTCCGGCATGGGTAAAACTAACGGAAACGCCAGTCTGATATGCAAGA